AGGACTGAATTTAAAGATAGCACTTCTAACTTCTGCATTTTCTGAAAATTTCATAATAGAGCTACTCCAGTATTTGTTGTTTCCAAAGCCAAACCTTTTTTACTCACATGTTATAAGGAATTAGTAATGTTAAGTATTCTATACTTCCCTTCTGCCTTTATCTACTGAGCCTGTCTCTGGGATGTAAAGAAAATGCAGCCACCTTTTTCCATATTTCAGTTTTATTAATTGTAATGAGATACAATTGTAGTACTGGCACATGCCACCTGATATGGCCAGATATGTTCTGACCCGGTGGGAAAAAATGGCAGTTCTACCCTATGACTGTCTCAAGAGATTGGGTAGATTATCTTCTGCTTCCCTGCCACATAGTACATTTATTTCTCATTGTGAATAATATATGCAAGAGGGAATATGAGTTTATCTGTCTACCTGCTTTTTCCTTATTTATCTTTATATACCCTTTATATGAAATATTCAGGTCAGCTAATATTTCTATCAATGTTCATAATAAAATAATTTCACAGTAACACATTACACACATTAAGATACTCTGAGCCGTACTATGTAAAAGAAAATAAATACAAAAAAGCAGAGCCCAGAGACTGAAGGATGATAATATAAATCTAATTGTCTTACTGGTGAATAACAATTGAAAATACAAATGCAAGGATATGCCTAATCAGATGTGAATGGAAAGACTATATCTTTTGATTAAGCTTTACTGAGAATGGCTGAGGTAAATCTCCAGCAGTGACTTAGAATGACCGCTCTTGGCTCCTCTCGGTCTCTTTTCCATTGACGAGATCTGCATGGAGGCTGCTGCCTTCTCCCTGCATTTCCAAAAAGCTCTAGCAAAAACAGACGCAGGTTTACCTAGACCAAGTTCAGGCTCTAAGGCTCCTATAGATCAAGCCCAGCAGGCCTGGATTGTGCTTGGGAAACAACTAGGAATACAATTGAGGATACTGGAGAAAAGGAAATTGAGCTGACAGTGACTCAAATGCCCACAAGGTTTTTGCATTCATAATAATGTTAACTCTTGTGTCCAAAAGATCAACAAGGAGTGAAGAAAGAGAAGAAGTTACATCTTTGTTACCCATAGGTCAGGTGTAAAGATCTGAACATCTGGAAATAATTCAGCATACCAGTGTTTGATTAGATGTAGATACTTGAACTGTGTGCAGGAAAGAGAGAGAAGGGAAGAGAAGGAGATGTTTAGGAGTATGAAAGCAAAAGTTGTGGTGTGTGAGGGGGCTCTGGGACCTTGGAGTGTCCTAGGCATTCAAATACTATAAATTAAGTAGGCCTAGCAAAGTGTCATCTGTTAGCTAAAATAAACAATTATTGTCACATAGCAGGAATCAGCAAGAAGAAGGAAATAAGATCTCGATTAACAATGTTCATAGCTGTATTTTCTATACAATTTATATATCAGTACCAGTGTCTTTCTGAGTTCTGGCTACCGTAGACTAGCATGGCTCTCCGCCTACAATGTATACAATTTTTATATGGCATGAAGTTGTATAAGAGTGAAGTACAAATATTTATTTTGACCCAACCATCATAGGAAACCAAAACTTAAATACATATTTATACTCCATTCTTATAATGCAGCATTCCATGGTTGAGTAGCTTTAGAATCTATTCATGAAAATAGAAATTCACAGAATTTTGTTATAGGTAGTTTCCAAATTTTCCTTTTAATGGCCCGGCTTTGCATTTTAAAAATTACTTTATATGCTTCTGCTGTTGAATTCCTTCAGAACTGTTCACAAATAAATATAAATGCAACATAATTCCAAATTCTAGATCCTGGTATAATATGGCGGTTTAGGAAAAGAGGTCTGTGACAGTCTGCTGTTATCCATGGCTCCTTAGAGATCCAAACAGACACTCTATTCTGGTTAGATGATAAATGAAGCTGAGAGTAGGAGATAGCTTAGTTTCTTGTAGGAAATTTTTTTCTGTAGAGGAGAACTGGCAGAGATAAAGTCTTTAAAAAACAGAAACTTTTGGAAGAAGGAAATTTGATGAAGATGTCATGGCTGGCAAACTTAAGATAGACCTAGACAGTGTTTGCTGTTGAAGATTGGTTATTGGCTTTAGTAAAAAGCAGTATTGGCTGAAGATCCTGAGTTGGGCTGGGCAGTGTTACACTGCTGAAGAGTTCTAAGTTTGAGGAGAGGCCAAGGCAAGACTTATGAAGTGGAACAGAGTATGATCCCGAAAAGTGTGCTAAAGAAAAGTGGGGCCCAGCATGGAACATAAATTACCCAGCAGAGGGGGCTCTGGGGGAGCCAGAAAAAAGAGGAAGACCACATTCTACCAGCCAAAAGGTACAGCTGCCAGCCTGAGACAGACTGAATGCTGGCCAATATCTTTAGAAACAGGACAGTATTTATAGAGATTAAATCAACATTATTGAATGCATGCATATGCCATTAAAGAATGCTTAAGATGCATAATGTTCAGCAAAGGAAAAACAGTCCTTTGCAGTGCATTTTAAATTGCAAGCCACGGCTTCATTCCTTCCCTGCTGGTTATCAGTAAAAATGGGTAGGAGAAGGCGGGAGAGCTCAGACCTAGCTTTTCTAGCTTAAATAATCTTGCTAGAAAATATGGCTGAAACTGAAAGTAGACGCTGTTTGTCATAATAAAAAAAAAGATAAAATCTCGAGATGTTTTGCACTGTGTCTTTCATCAAATCTGGAGATTACGAAGTTTCTTCTAGTAAATTGCTGCTAATATTTTTAGTACTACCACTGTGCTAGATACAATTAACCATAACACTTCTTCCAGTTAGGTGATGTGATGCTAGGAATTTAGAATGTATGTTAGGAAAGGGTTTAAATTAACTCATTTATGAAAACAGTATAGATCATCTTATATTCTCAGATTTGCTTCTATCCTTAGTAGGCTCTTATTCTTTTTTTTTATAGTAATTTAAAAAAAATTATAATTACAACAATAAAAACTAATACTGTACAAAATAAAAAATAAAAGAATAAAAAGAAAAAATAGAAGGTGCAGAAAATAGAAAAATAGAAAAGAAAGAAAAAATAAGAATATAATAAAGAAAAAGAAAATAAATATATAAAGAAATGACTTTCTCCTTCATCACAAGTATAAACAATTTTAGTAACTTAGCACCTTGTCTTAAAATACAACAAATGAG